ACTATTCACTACTAGAAAAGTCAGAAACCAAAATACAGGAGGAAGAGAAAGAGAGCAAAGAGAAAAAAGGAAGACTGAATGGGGCAAGAGCCCCGCCACTATGTACGTGTCCCACATGGGACTAAATAGGTGGCATCTCGCGAAAATAGCTTGAGGCAATCCAAGACCAATGGGGATGGCATGCATCCACAGTGGACCTTATCAAAAGAAACAACAGAGGCAGTAAAGCCAATGCACTTTAAGGGCCTTTTCACACCACCTCCAAGTGGTAATCCCATGGTTCCGTGAGATTAATGCACAGTACCACACAACATACCTACCGTTCGATTGCAGCTAATTTGAATGGCACCCCAAATGCAGTGCGATTACCGCAAATACCATGCTTTGGAGTATGATTGAAAAAGTAGTGCATTCATAGTAAGGAAGGTCCCCAGAGGGGGACCCCGAACAGTAGGGTTGGGTAGACAATGCCTAAAATGTCACGTGCGGTCACCATACAGGCGGTGGTCAGAAAGGACCCAGTAGGGATTAGCTGCAGCAATGAACTTCCCCCACAGGAACATGTGTAGTAAAGCAGCCCCACAACAGCAATAGCAGCCCCCACACTATATTCCCCTTTGCTGGCTGACCAATGTTCCAGGGGTAGAAGCATAACACCATCCAGGATGATGCTCACCTGAAGGGAACACTGTAATACAACAACAGGAGGCTAACCAGTCATAAGTGTCCCCAGGAATGAAACTCCACAGGCTGCACTTGTGATCCAGTGCTGTCGGAATGAAACTACATGTGCTTGAAGGCTGGACTAGAAAGACTTCAAAGATCTATATTATTCAGCCTGTCATTTAACCAGCAGCTTGACTGCAGATCATCTTCAGAGGGAAGAAGAAAAAAAACCAAAAACAGTTTTAAAGGAGCTAAATCCCAGTAGGGAAACTTAGGTCCTAACTTCTAGGCAAAACACCGAGCTCTCCCCAGAACAGAGGGGTTTGGCCACAAGCAGGTACTGTTCTAGGCTTAGCTTTTGTTTTGTACCTAGTGTCCTACACCTACAAGTGGCAGCATAACCCAATTAAGAACAAGAAAGAGCTGTCTCCATCAACTAACACGCAGACACAACTAAAAGATAGGAAATATAGCCGTATGAATAGGAACACAAACATATAGCAGCGTTTTCTTAATTTTGAATGCAAAATTGGAAGTACACTTTAACCCTACTGAACACCTTTGAGATGAATTGGAATAGTAAGCCAGGTCTTCTCTGTGAATGTCAGTACCTGACCTCACAAATGTTCTTCTGGCTGAAAGGGCACAAATTTCAGAAGAGTGGGGAACATCCCATAATAGCATCCACAGTTTTCCAATGGGATGTCCAACAACAAGCTGATTCAGGTGTAAAGGTGCCCAAACATTTTACAACCCTCGCAAGACTTTTGTCTTGCGAGGGTTGTAAAGTAATTTATAAAGCGTACGGTCTGCCCATCTTGGACAGGCAGATCGTACTTGCGATCAAGTACGCCCCCCCGAGTGCGCACACCGGCCCGTTCGGCAGTCATCTCTCGATCATGTTAAAACCAGCCGAAAATCATACGATTCTCGGCTGGTTTTCCAACATTCTCGAAATACAAAAGTCGTGCGACCGTACATTAGAAACGGTTGCACGCCTTCCATACATGCATGATTCTCGTACGATCGTGGGATTTCCTGCGATTCTTGTACGAGAATCGTGCAGTGTATGGGCACCTTTAATGTCAGATGTCCACAAAATGGCCATATTCTATGCATAACAATATAGAAAGGCACAGATACATCGGCTAGACACACGACTATTTGAATGTAATATGTGCATGGAGTCTTGTAAAGCAGTGCTAACATCAAAGACAGTGACATTACACAGACTGTCCAACACAACTCACTCTAGGAGTTGTAAAAAAACTTTATAGGGTCAAAGACCCCAGAACTTTTATACGTTTATATACTTTCTAACCCCAAACAAATTTGGAGGCAAATCTATTGCCAGGTTTGGATGTTTTTAGTTCATATATTTATAGGTAGATTGTATGACAGTTATGTCATGTCTATGTGCACCTTCACATAGCAGAGCTGAACTCCAGTCAGCAAGTAAAAATTACCTTTTGTTGTTTCCCTTTGTCTTGTAAGCTTCTAATGCTCGTTAAGTCTCAAGACTGTAAGGCCTCATTCACACAGTGTAGAGTCGGGCTGTACAGATCCGTGCGGCGTGCACAGCTGTATTATATTCGTGCGGGTCTGGGTGTCCGCACCTGGACGCAGACAGGATAGATCCTGTCTGCGTCTGAACACGGACACCCGGACCCACACGGACATGCAGTTCGGGTGTGCGAATGTCAGAGTACAGCAGCGTCCTCCCATAGATAAGAACAGGCTGCTGCGTGCAATCACACGCAGGAACGGCCCGGTACGGCCGTGCACGCTGCACGGGGCTGTGCGGCCTGACTTTACGCTGTGTGAATGAGGCCTTAGGGCTTGTTCACACCAAGCACGGAGCAGATCCGGACCAGAGCAGGTGCAGACCGGATCAAAACTGCGTCCAATGTATTCCTATGGTATTTTGACCTCCAGTTCACATCGCAGCGTGCGGATCCTGACCAGATCCAGACCGGATGAAAAAAATGTGGCAAGCCCTATTTTACCTGCTCTGGATCTGGTCTGGAACGCATCAAAAACGCATCTAAAACGCAAAAACGCATCAAAAACGCATGCAAGTGCCTGAAAGTCCATGTTAAACTTTTAAAAAAAATAAACTTTTTTTTTTTTACCAAAACCGGCCCTAAACGCATCCAAAACGCATCCAAAACGCGGCACAACCCACTACACTGCGTGTGCAGAAACCTGACCGGATCTGGTCTGCATTTGGTGTGAACAAGGCCTTACAGAGAATAATACTTACCTTATTCCACGCTCATCCTGGGTCCTGCACTGCACATGATGACATAAGCATGGGGGCAGCTGTGCAATCAGCAAAGGGAAGCAGCTTTATGGGTTTGGTCATGCAACGGGAGGAAGACTACAGGAACAAGGAATAAGGTATATATTGTATAGCCCTCTAGACTAAACAAACCTATTACAGCATTACTAGAGAATGGTATTATTTTTTGCAGAACTCCTGCTGGCTTCTGCAGTGTTAACACTTCACGAGTCTCTGACCTAAACATATGCAGTTCAGAAGCCCATCAGAAGGCCTACATTTCTGACCTGCATTCCATTTCTGGCTGAGTGACTCAAACTATTGAAGCCAAAAAAATCAGCATGGCAGTTACATTTTCAAGAGTAGGTTAGCAATGGAAGCCAAGTTTTTTTTGTCCTAACAGCTATCCTTCTCATCAGCAAATCCATGTATACATAGTGACAATGGACGGTATGCACACACAGGATGGAACAATTAAAATACAGACTTGATTGACACACACACATACAGTATAAAAACCATATACATATAGACCAGTGTTTTTCAATCTTTTTACAGTCTAGGCACCCTTTAAAAGTATGCAAAATCTTGGGCACCCCAGTCAAAAGTCAAACATTTTAAAGCGTCAAAGTAAAAAACGTGTGGCTCTTTCAAAATTCATACCAGACCCTTATTCTAAATAGGGGTCTGGTATAGATTTTACGGGGGGGACCTCATGCAAAAACACATAAAAAAAAGGGTTACCCATATCAGTGCCCTTCCTTCAATTCAAATGCCCCCCCCCCCCTTCACATGAGCGTTCCCCTTTACATCAAGAGCCCCCTCTATTCACATCAGAGCCACCTCCTTTCACATCAAAGTGAACCCTTTACATCAAGAGCTCCCCTTCACTTCAGAAGCCCAACTGTATCATAGAAGGGCATGAGGCTGTGTAAACATTTTGAGGCACACCTGAGGAAGCCAGAAGGCACCCAGTTTGAGAAAGGCTGATATAGACAACAGAAGCAAAATTAAATAAACACAACTTTAGGCTCCATTCATACCTAGGCCTTTTGTCGCTCAAAGCAAAGCGCGACAAAACGCTTAAGACAAGGAATCCCATTCATTTGTATGGCACCTGTTCACACCTGAGAGTTTTGTTGCACAAAGTTTCCCACTGAAGTCTATGGGGCCAAAAGTTCTGTAATCTGCCATAAATTAGATCATGTACTTTTTCCCATGACAGGTGGTTTTCTGCTTGCAACAAAACTCTCAGGTGTGAACAAGGGCCATAGAAATTAATGGGATTCCTTGTCTTGAGCGTTTCGTTGCGCTCAAAACAAGCGAATGGGATTCCTTGTTGGTTTGCCACCTGTCCAGGATTCACCCAGACAGTCCGGATATTGAATCCTGTGTTCGGGTTTCATGGCAGCAGAAACTCGGACACAAGATCCCAGGCAGACAGGGGGAGCCAAAATTAAGATAGGGGCTACTGACCCCCCACTGAAAATAGTCTCAACTGTGCTATTTACATATGAATGGGTGACGCTATTTACATATGAATAAGCCACGACTCATTCTCCCAAAAAAATGTCAGCGCGTCGCTAGGGTGTTCGGTTTTTACTTAAAGAAAAGGTTACAACCCTAATTCCTTGTCTTAAGCGATGTGTTGCGCTCAAAACAAGCGAACGAGATCCCTTGTCTTGAGTGTTTTTGCGTGCTCAAAACAAGAGAATGGGATCCCTTGTCTTGAGCTTTTTGGCACGCTCAAAACAAGCGAAAGGGTTTCCTTGCCTTCAGCATTTTGTTGCACTTACCTTTGAATGAAAAAAACGCTATAAACACTGGCAGCTCAGTTTTGATTTGTAAAATTCTACATCAATAAAAAAAAAAAACTTTGCTGGTCAGGTGTGAATATAGCTTCGGCAACATTGCTACTTTAAAAGCTTGTTCACACAAAATCCAGTGCGTTCCAGCATTGTAAGAGGCTGGAACGCAATGGATCGCATAATTAAGCCTGCAAGGGTGGGAGGGGGCGTGGTGGTAGCATTAAAAAAAATGGCACCGCAGCCATGCCTTCTGCAGTGCGATTGTGTGGCACAACGATGCCCGCTGTGCGATCGCAAAAAAAAGAAACCGCTTAAATATGTGATCCATTGTGTTCCAGCCACTAACCATGCTGGAACACACTGGATTTGGTGAGAGCAAGCCCTTACAAAAAGGCATGACTTAGAAACTGAGTATCTGAATTAAATGATAGTGTATCAAAAGGGAAATTATGCATAAAAGTAAGACTAGGTGAAATGGGTCACTCCTTGGTGTTTGACCATGTGAGGTATAGTCATGTACTGCGGCTGTGCAGTTCAGTAAGCCATCATGTGATGTACACACCTGCTCAGCCAAAGGCAAGCACGGGGTCCGCACACCCACATATCGCCAAGGGAAGCAGGCACCCGTCTGTGATTGTTAGAAAGGGTTTCTGTTGTTTACCTGAACCACTTCCAGGCAGCAATACGTCTATATATAGCGGCCCGCCGAAGTGGATAAAACAAGAGCTGTGTTCTTGGTGTCATTTTTAACAGCCAGCGATGGCTGTTAATGTACAAGCGATCCAGCGTCTATACAACCGCTGGATCATTTGTACCGAACGGCGCTATCCTCTCCCCTACCCCCGCTGCCAGCTGGGGGCTCCGCCGGCTTTCCCGGGCTCTGTTGTCCCTGTGCAGTGCCTGGGACCGGCTCGGCAGTTTTCTCCGCAGCGATGGGAGAGAGATTCAGCGGCTTCCAGCCGCTGATCTCTCCTCAGATCACTGGAACCGGAAGTGATGTGTATTACATCACTTTCGGTGTCACTTTTTACATTCTCTCACAGGAAAAGAAGCAGGGGAAGCAGATTTCTGCATCCTCAGCTTCTTTGGGGTCCCTAGGTGACATTAGGGGTCTGAAAGACCCTTGATGTCAGCATAAAGAGGACCTGTCACACCCTATCTGCTATTACCGTACATAGGGGGCTTGTTAGCCCCCTATGTGATCGCACTAAGGTTAGAGTTAAAAAAAAGTGTTAAAAGTAAAAAAAATGAATAGTATCATAAAAGAAATGCAAAAAAAAATTAAAAATTAGTCGCTCGCACATACATACGCAAACACGCATTGGTGCGCCTACGTATGAAAACGACAATTGCGCTACACATGTTACTTATCGCTGCGAACGTTAGAGTGAGAGCAATAATTCTAGGGCCATCAATCGCTGTTAGCACGAAATTGCTGAGCAGTAAAAGTGTTTATATTGTTCCCTACTGCAAATTTGGGGTATTGAAGTTTTTTGCGGTTTCACAGGCGAACACAATTTTAAGGCTCGACATGTTAGGTATCTCTTTAACCGGCATGACCCCATCTTTTATATTTTACCAAAACATTGGGTATTATATTGTTTCTGTGCAATACATTTTCATTTAGTTTTATCCTAAAAATACTGGTTTGATAAACATTTGCGCAAATACCGTGCGACATAAAAAATTGCAACTAGCATAATTTTATTCTACAGGGCCTCTGCTTTCAGAAAATATATAATTGTTTGGGGGTCTGAAGCTGTTTCCTAGCCACAAATTCAGATTTTATCATATCATGTGTGTGCAAAACAGTAAGAAAATGCTGCGGACATCAAATGGTTAAAAAGGACCCCGGAAACGGCACCTGTACGGAGCCCTATCAGGGAACAGATTTCAATGCAAATCAATGAGCAATAATGAGGAAGGTCTACACGGGACTGATTTGTGGTCACAAACGTCAATACATATAAAGCTTGAATCCGGTGTTAAAGTAGGCACAGAATTAAACATAAAAAACGTTAACAGACCGTTTCCCAAAAGCCACAAATTGCATTTACCACCCCCGGGCAGCTCCAGCACAGACACCCCACACTCACCGTTTTTTGGTCGTGCAACGCTACTTCACCGAGTCCGAGCTACTGAGACGCCTGGCACTATGTTGGATTGTCTTGCCGCCTCCAGGAAAATACAGGCTGTTAACGTTCAATTCAGGAAAATAGAGAGAGTTGTCACGTCCTAGTGAAGCATGTTTGACCTCGTCTTGTGAACGTCTGTCCCTCCGTCCGTGAGATCCTGAGGGCGTGAGTGTTTCTCCCGGGCTGTGGCAGGCGCCCCCTTCTGCTCTGCTCTTCCCAATGACTAGACCTCCATGGGACTGGATTGTCTAATATACACTTGCAGCTTTCTCTTTACTTCTCACCTCTGACTGTGATACTGAACGAATCCTTGGAGCAGATAGTATGTATTTATATTGTATAATTTCCCATTTCCATCACTGACCACGTTATGGCTTATGAAACTTCGTTTTTTTTACTTCTCCAGTCTGTTCCTATGTTACTCACCACCAACAAAATAATACATGTGCAATGCTGTCCTTTGTATTTGTATTTTGGTCAAATGTGTATATTATACGACGTGTATGATTTACTTGATACCACATTCATAGGGTTTGTTTGGGGTTTTTTTTCCTGTAAATATGGGTGTGTTTCCTACTAACAATTAACAAAAGAATCAGCAGGAAAACAATGAACAATAGGTCTTTGAGAGGAAGGGCAGCCTACAAAAGCCCTTTGTTTCTCTGTTCATATGATGTTTCTAGACCATATCACAGGGAGCAGCAGGAAATTGCTCAGCTCCACTGGGGGGGTGGGGGGAATTCTTGACCTGTGAGGGACACATCAAAGGAAAGCGGAGGAGCATGGAAGCCTATGTACTCAAAAAGAGAAAAAAAAAATAAGTTCTGTAATACTGAGCCATACATCAGCATAACGAACGTGTTTACATAGCCATAAATATGAGATTAAAGTGATATTAAAGGCTTGTGAGCTAAATGTTGATTACATCACTTACAATGGATGCTGCTCCTTGTTATTGATATGTTTTATTTTCCTACAGAATCAGCTGGTCCCCTGAGCACTGGCACTGATTTCCTGTTTAAAGGTGGCATCTTTCCTTTGCAGGGTCCTATGGAGTCACCCTTGTGTGTGCTAGTAAGCTGTGCGTGTCTCCACAAACACACAGGCAAGGCAAGACAATCTCCTCAATCCTCCATGCTTCCTTCTCCAAGCTAGTAGATGGATAGATGCTGGAGACTGCTCTGCCCCCTTGTGATTTTGTATTTATCAGGAAATTCAGGGAAGCCGAGCTGAGAGAGTTGGAGCTGTTTGCAAACATGACTAAGTTTTTGTGCAAAAGAAATACTTTGGCAATGTATATTTGTTTGATCTGGATTCTGTGTAGAAGGAAGTTTGAGAGTTTAATACTACTTTAACATTGACCAGCCTGGCTGTTCTGTGGTGGATCCGATATCAGATGATAATCCTTTTGTTTATTACAGATGACGTACAGATTCTCCTGACTGTGAATTCCAGAACAATATCCAGGATTGGGATGACATTTTGGTATAGCTGCATAGCTTTTGACCCCCCGACAAGGAGACTCACAATGGCCAATTGGGGATGGGGGTGGGGAGGGTTAACCTTGCGCTTCAGGTGGCAATACACTGTGCGAATCTTGGCTGCCCGAAATTTGCACAGTGGGACAGCCAATGAACAGCCAGTTCTGTTCAGGTATTTGGGCAGCGGCCGGCGGACACTGTCAGAATACAGAAAAAACAGCAGGGATTCCTCAATCAACACTCTCGTAGTGTTAATGGAGGAATCTGCTCTATTTTTTTCATTCAACCCATGGGCTGAATTAAAAAAATAAATATA